GTGTATCAATATGGTCTATCATACCATATCATATTGGTATGATAGATACCATATCATGTCATATTGGCCTGGAAGCAATCTACAGGTTCTCATCTTCTGTGAAGACAAAAGAAGAACCTCTTTTCCAAAGCATCATATCCTTAGACCCAAATTTTGAAGTCAAGATATATTTATAATATACATGCTGGTTTACCTTGGCAGCCCATATAATGAAATGTCTCTCTGCATTTTTAGCTCCTTTACAGTAAAAAAAAATTAAAGAAAACACAACATATATAATCCAGATTTTCAGGAGAGGGGAAAGCGAGGCAGGGAGGAGGTGGGAATTTTTAATAAATAAAAAAAATTGAAACCTATAATCAAAAAAATAAAATAAAATCAGGGAAAGGTAAAAAAATAATAATAATAATCCAGACTCTCTGTGAATTTTCCATTTTTATGTGGCTTATTTTTTCTTTACTTCTTTTAATCTCTAACTATCTGTACTCTGTCTCTTTAAAGACTTTATCCTTTTTTAAAGCATTAACTTTATTTTATAACTTTTTAAAACCTTTCTTCGTCTTTCTCCCAAGCCTACGTTAGTCTATCTAACACTTTGACCCATTTAGAGGTCTTTTATGTCTGAATCTGTCCAATTGTATTGTCTTTAATTCTCTACTGTCTTGAAGAGCTTTTAAAATTCTAAACAGCTTGGTTGCAGCTGCTCTGGATGTTGGCTCCACCTCTCTCCAATTTCAAAATGGTGGATGTACCATTTATGCTAGCTCTAGGGCTGCCAGGTAGGAGTCACTCTCAGCCCTTTAACTCTGAGACTTAGCGTGCAGCACATAAACTCTTTTTATTTGAGTTGCAGCCAAATCAGCCATGCAGAGCACAGCACAGCCTGGAAACATCTCTGTGTATGGCAGCAGGAATCCATCATGCTCTCCCGCCTGCCTTACCCTGATTCTGTTGTCTGCCCAGATGGAGAGCACTGAGTCATTGGCATGGTCTCAGAGTGCTTTCTTTCCAATCTCGAGTGGGCACATAAACATCCAGTCCCACCAAAGGCATTGAAATGTTTAATAGCTGGCATTTGTACGGGCGGCCCAGCCCAGGAAGCCACGTTTTACAACTGCACAGCTTTTTTTCCTCCTGTGGCTGCTGAGTCGGGAAAACTTCTCTGCAGCAGCCTGCCAGCAAACAGCAAAAGGCTGTATTAAACTCTATATTTGTGTCTAGAATTTATTTTCCAGCCCTCTCAGGTTTAACATGGAGTCAGTTTACCATGTTGGAGATTCAATCTGTAATAGGAGTGGGCCATGTCCTGCCACCTGGCTAAGTTAACCCCTATAAGAACCACACAGAAATTGTATTCATTAAATTACTGCTTGGCCCATAAGCTCTAACCTCATATTGGCTAACTCTCACATCTTGATTCTACCCATTTTTAATAATCTGTATGTCGTCACGAGGTTGTGGCTTACCGGGAAAGATTCAGCATGTATGACCTGGCCGCTTCATGGTGGCTCTCTCTGCCTGCCTTCTTTCTCCCAGCATTCAGTTCTCTCTTCCCCACCTATCTAAGTTCTGCCCTATCAAAAGGCCAAGGCAGTTTGTTTATTTAACCAATGAAAGCAACACAGATACAGAAGGACCTTCTATGCCAATTCTGTGTCTGGAAAATGTTGTTTTCTTGAAGTCACCCACTGCTTTGGCTCCTAGTACCTTTCTCCCTTCTATTCCACATAGAACCCTGAGGCTTGAGGGGATGGGTATGATATAGACATCATGGCCAGAACTGAGCATTTCAAAGTCTCTTCCTCTCTTTATTTTGATAAGTTGTGGGTTTTCTTGCTAATTACTATCTACTACAAGAAGTTTTTCTGATGAGTGTTGAGTGATGTCCAATTCTAAGGAAAGAGCAGTATATCATTAGAAATTTTTATTATTATATTAATTTAATAGATTAGTGGAGGTAGGTATTCTCCCAGGACTCAAGGTTTATCTAGTCTCAGGTTCTTGATCTCATTGAACTCCGTGCTGCATATGCATTCTATCTAATAGAATGGGCCTGAAATACCACTTAATATGTGTTTGGCTATTCCCATAACATTTCTACTCAATTGCACCAGTGGCCATAGCTTTTAGGCAGATCATTATTGTTACTGACATGGTTCACACTTGGGTGACACTGTAAATTACTTTTCTCATCCAATACAGTGTATGCCACCTTCAACCACTGTGAACACTTTAAAATAACATCAAGAGGGAAGATAGTAATCTGAACCAAGAAGAATCATTAATAAAATACTTTTTATAAATATAATTAAGAATTTTATTTGACATTTTCATAAATGTACACAATGTAATTTGTTCATGTATATATCCTACTTCTCTGATCAAATTCCTTTGAATACTCTTCCAAATCCCCCTCCCAATGCCATGTCTAATTTTCATTTATAAACTACTTAGTCTAAGTAGTGCTGCCCATATGTTCATAGTGTGGCATCATTCACTGGAGCAGAGGCAACTGTCTGGGGCTACACTCCTGGGAAAATTGACTCTCCCTTCTCTAGTAACCATAAATTTTCATGAGGTACTCAGGTATGTGGTTAGAACTGGAAAGCCCCTCCACATCCATTCTAGAAATTTGAACTGGCTGATCTTGTGTGGGTCCAGCAAGTAACCAGAACTTTTGTGACTCCATGAGTGTAATTGTCCTCTCCAGTCCAGAAGACACCAAGAAATTAAACCCTTTTACCTTCTTAGTCACTGGAGTTTGGGTCTGGTTGAGATCTAGTCTTATAAATGCAGGCGAGAGTAACCCTTGTGAACTTTTCCTATTTCTTGGAAATATATTCATTAATTCTGCCATTATTTGTGTGTATGTTGTATGTTTGTGTATATGTTTATGTGTTCACATGTGTGTGCACATGCGTGTAGGCTAGAGGTTGATATGATGGTGTCTTCCTCAATTGCTCTTCGTTTTATTATTTTAACTTATATTTTAGTGTGTGTGCAGTCATGCATATGCATCACGGTGCCTGTGTAGAAGTCATAAGACAACTTGAAGGAGCTGGCTCTTTCCTTCTAATGTGAATCCTGGGAATTGAACCTAAGTTGTAAGACTTGACAGCTGCCACATTTAATGTGTCATCTTGTTGGGCTTCCACTTTATCTTTGAGATGGGGTCTTCAGTGTTTTGAAGCTCATTTCTTGGGGAAGATTATCTGTCCAGAAAGCTCCAGGGATGGTCTTCTCTTGCCTCTACTCACTAGAATTACAGGCATGCACCACCTTACAAACCTTGTCTTTGAGCATGTGTGTACTTCTGGCACAGGAAGGAATTCTGAGCACCTCTTGGATTTTCACAACCTCGGACTATGATATTTCTTCAAAGAACCAAAAACCTGGTCATCTTAAACCAGGAGTTGGGAAATAGGACTGATCATGTTAGCTAGAATATCTCTGTTTCCTAATTCTTTCAGAGAAGTGGGAGCATCTTCCCATCCCTCCTCTATCATTTTTTTCTACCACCTATTTAGAGAAATAGGATTCTAGCACCAAAACACCCTACTCCACCCTGCCTACCTAGAAAGATTCTTTTTTGCTCTGAACAAGTTTCATTTTACTAAGACTGAGAAGCTGGGCTTTCATTATTCAAGATATTCTTTGTAAATTGGTCAGCTTATTTTTTGTTGTGATTTTGATACAGGATTTCTCTGTTGTCCCAGAACTCATTTAGTAGACTTGAATGACCTTGAACTCACAGAGGTCTGCCTGTTTCTGCCTCCCAAGTCTTGGGATTTAAGGCAAGTACCACCATACCTGGCTAGGTCAATTCATGTTTTACTGTCATGTAATCATTATACATAGCACGTAGTAATATTTTCATTTAAACATATAATGTTCTTTCATCACAATTCTTGACATATCCTCCTTTATTCTTCCTCTTATTATTCATTTTCCTAGACACTTCATCTTCTACTCTTAGGTCAATTCATTTTTAGAAAGTTGCTTTGTGTCTGGCCAAACAAGCAGATCAGCCATCATCCAGAGCAGCAGATGGAAACAAATACAGAGACCCACAGCCAGACATTATGCAAACCTTGGAACACTGATTCCTAAATGGGATGTCTCCACCAAATCCTTGCTTTCAGGACTCAGGGAATCCTGGAAATGAGGAGGCAGAAAGAGTATAAGACCCAGAGGATATGGAGGATGCCCATAAAATAGGCTCTCTATCAATGCATGTATGAATTCACAGAGACTGAGGCTGCATGAAGAGCCTGCACTGTTCAGCACCACGACCTCTCTATATGCATTATGGCTTCCAGTTTAGTGTTTTGATGAGATTCCCGGGTGTGTGAATGAAAGAATCTGACTCCTATACCTTCTCTTAAATTCTTTGTTTTAGTTTAATTTTGTATTTTATTTTATTATCCTTTAGAAACCTATTTGTTTCCTAATGAGATACAGTGAATCTAGATAGGAATTGTGTATATTTGGAACTGGGAGGAGTGGTGAGGAAAGAAAAATAAGAAGGATATATAATGTGTTGCAAAATTGATTTTCAATTGAAAGAATCTCTCCCCAAATAAACAAATGCTCATCCCTACAAAAAATTATCTTATTTAAATTTGTGTGGTTGTGTATGTGTGTTCTTATGTGGGCCTGTGCATGGGTGAACAGTTGCCTGCAGAAGCTAGAAGAAACATCAGGTACTCTAGCACTGAAGCCACCAGTGGGCTCTCTACTCACCAAAGCACAAGCTTCTTGTGTAAGGACATGCCTCAGTGGCGGCTATATAGCTGGCCTGGCCTCACACCCAGCCAGGCTGCCTTCCAGGTAGACCTCTCCCCCATACTAGTGGGTCTCAGAGGGACCTCCTTCATGTGCCCCTCACAATGGTTTTAGACTACATGACACAGAAAGAGAATGTAAGGTTGGACATTAAAGTGCAAGAATCCAGTGAGGCTTCTGATACTAAATAAGATGGAACAATCTTTGTTGCCCAATCCATTGATCAGCCAGCAATTTTTATTTATGATACTTGTTATAGGACAGGGAGGAGTTCAAGATTGGTTCTATGTTGGTGTTATTATGATAAGCACCCTGAGAAAAGCACGATAAGGGGAAAGCAGTTTATTCTGGCTTACAGTTCTAGTGGAGAGTAGGTCATTGAGGGAAAGCCAGGGACAGGAGCTAGAAGACTCCACAATTAGGAAGCAGATGGTAATGAGTCCCTGCTGTTCAGCTCCCTTTCTTTACTTATATGGTCCTGGATACCAGATGGCACCACCTACAGCAGGTAGGCCTTCACACCTTAGCCAACTCAAACACCCATCACCCACAGGCATGCCTTGAGGTCCTTATCCATCCCAGATTATTCCAGAGTCTCTAAAGTTGACAATAGCAACAACCATGCAATCCAAAGAAGACTGAGGAAACATAGACTATCAGAGAAGTAAGAGGAGATAAAGATGATAAAATAAATCAAGCCTAAAAAAATAATATTAACATTTCACTTCAGTTAAATTAAAAATCCTTCAAGGACTACAAAATTGGACTATGAACAAATTTCTTAAGCAATATGCCATTTCAAAATGGGACAGTGTCAACAATCTTGAGAGTCAAGTGTGGATCCCCAATTGGCTCAAACAATGTGTGACCATGTTTATTGAAAGGATTAGCATCTTGTTTTGTTGATTAAGTGTTTTCCCATTAATGTGTATAATGATATCATATATTTTTGAAAGAGATTTTTATTTATATTTTCAATAACATAAAATTTTTCCAAAAAACAATTTGATATACTTTTACTAACAGTCAATATGATAGTTCCTATTTTCATTAAAAATTATTGATAGAACTATAGAGAAACAGTTATTACATTTAGAGTTCAGAATGGAAGGAATCAATTGTAATCAGTGTAGATGGTCCCAAGAAAATCAGAAAGTGAATCTCCATACCTATCAATCACTTAATTATTTATGTTGAATCACACAATAGATGATACTCTGTATAGACACTGAGCATATTCAATGAATTATTGAACACTCAATCATTGTATGGTGTATTAAATTTGCTAGTGTTTTGCGTACAGCCCTCCTGAAGCACATAACATGGTTCCTGAGGGAAATTCATGATCCAGTTATTGGGTTATCTCTTGACACAACCTTCAGGATGATGGGTTTTTCTGGTTGGAGAATTGGTTGTCTGCTCAACTTTGGCGGGATCTGTAGTAGTTCAACAATCACAGTGAGAAGCAATGGGTGACACACCAGCAACAATAGAAGCAAAGAGAACAGATACATTAAGGAGCATGCTCTATATACATAAAATACTATTTATCAGTATCCTATTTCCTTATTTCACTGAGACTGGATGGGAAAAGCACTTATTTATCTTCTTAATCAGGCAAGTATTAGCTGAGCATCTATTGTGTGTACAGAGCCAGGGAAAAAGTTATGTTGGTTTGTGTTCTTTAGTGATTTAAATTTTAAGTCAACAGGCCAAGTTAAAAGTTGAGATTATTTCATAAACATATGGAAAATGAATTTTGAAGGCAATATAAAGTTACTTTTGCATTCATTGAAGTATAAGGTAATCCTGAGCACGTATCACAATTTTGTTCTTATGGAGTGATTCAATTATCAAAATGCCTGGACACCAGGTTTGCCCATTCTGTTTGATGGTGGACAAGGACTCCAGAAAGCATCGGCCCTTGTTTTCTTAGATTCTAAGGATAATTTGAAAGGGAACCTTGAGTAATTCAAAGTTTTCATATAATCATTTGCCTCAGTTTCTTCAGTCTTGAGGGGATGATGACGTATACAACACAACTGTTTGGTCTTAGTACAGGAAAGGAAAGAAAATTGTCATCAGAGAAGGGTATCAAACTGTGGGTGACTGGAGCTTGACAGCTGTTCCAGAGCCTTGTTTGCTTCCAAGACAAATGCTCTGTCCATCTATTCATCTAAATAAACCCTCACACATTTACAGGACAGCTACATTGCAACTTATATCCACTTATATCCTCCTCGCCTCCCATGAAGAAAGGCAATGGAACAGGAAAGCACTGCATACTTCATGTATGTGTGTTAGAACTTAATTGTCAGGTGGTGATTTACATAGCATTTTCATAGACTTAGTCACCATTCCTTTGCTATAAGGAGACACCATGACCATGACAACTCTAATAAAAGAAAGGATTCAACTGGGAACTTGTGCACAGTTTCAGAAGCTTGGTCCATTATCTTCATGGTGGGGAACATGGCAGCAGGCATGGCAGGTGTAGTGCTGGAAAAGGAGCTGAGAACTACATCTTGATCCACAAGCAGAGAAGACTAGCAGCATTGGGCCTACTGTGGGCTCTAAACACCTAAAAAGCCATCCTTAGTGGCACACATATCCTGTGTCACATCAATGACTTTCAACTTTGGTTGTGGAGACTAACCTGTATGTTTAACAGCCACACTATGGGTGAATCATTTCAACATAGCAGATATGACCAGACATTTTGAATGTTTAAGGCTCTTTAGCAGTTCTAAAGCACAGTCAGTGATTGGGAGCCCCTGACACATGGAAACTTCTCTTAAATCATAGTGACATCCACCAGTCACAAATCAATATAAGGTCTTTATCATATGCTGTGTGCACAATATCTCATCTCCAGTTTATTTGAACTCAATGTCAAGGAGATTTTATTCAGTCATCTCCCACTAATCTGCACTAACTCTAAATGAATTCCTTATTTATGTTTTATTCAGTTGCAGTTCAGTATGAAAAGACTCATATCAGACAACAAATACATTCTTTTTTACATACATTATTAAAATGTCAGTGAGCAGAGTGGTGGTTTACATAAGAATGGCCCCCCAAGTTTATGTTTGAATACTTGGTTCCCCAGTTGCTTGGGAAGGATTAGGAGGAGTGGCCTTGCTTTAGGAGGTGTGTCACTGCGGGTGGGCTTTGAGATTCCAAGGGACTAGTGCCATTCATTTACAGTCTCCTCTCTCTGTCTCTCTCTGTCTCTCTCTGTCTCTCTCTGTCTCTGTCTCTCTCTGTCTCTCTCTCTCTCTCTAAACTCTCAGATGTACCTGCTGCCATTTCTTCACTCTGCCATCACAAACCTTAATACTCTGGAACCATAAGCTAATTTAAGCACCTTTTAAGATATAAATTGTCTTAGTCATGGTGTTTTATCACAGCAACAGAAAAATTATCAAGACAAACAATTTATTTGTGTATATAACACTATAAGTTTTTAAATAAAAGCTATTGAGAGTTTTCTGCCTCACCTGTGTTTCTTCACAAGGATGAAGGGTGAAGTTCTGCAGGACACTGATGACAGCCAGTTTCATGCTGATGAGAGCAAACCTCATGCCAAGGCAGTTCCTGGGTCCGTTCCCAAACGGCATGTATATATAAGGATCAATACTGCCCTTGTTCTTCTTGCTGAACCTGGAGACACAGTAGGGATGAAAACAAGGCTATGGAACATCAATCCAAAGAGCTCTCTGTTTAGAGTCGTCACACCCTCAACCAGAGTGGTTCAGTGTACATTTATGGACTTGCAACAGAACCCTTGCTGCAGGTGTCTGACCAATTAATTGTGAGCTAATTACCTCCCTTCCACCCCAAACAGGCATTTTTCTGTGTTATTGAGACAAGTGGAAATGAATGCTTTTTGAAAGAAAGCACATCGTTAAACACAAAATATTCCATTCCAGATGGTGAAGTGTTCTATTCTGAAAGACATATTGGGATTGGCCAAACTGATGGCCAAGAAGTCTCCTGCCTCACACTTTGGAATGGGGAGACAAAAACTCTCTCTATCACTATTGGAAATGCAAATTTCCCCTCCCCCATTACTTCCCTTTCCTCTCATTACATTCCTTTCTTTGTAGCTCCCCCCATTTGTATTTTTCTTGTCCACTTCTTCCTCAGAATTGCTTTTGCTTTCCCCCACTCCCTCCACAGAATGGCTAAAGCCCATTACCTTTCTGGCACACAGGATGAGTCTCTACTGTAGCATCATGAATGACATCCACATCTACATTCTCCACTAAGCTAAAAATATCTACTAAACATGTAGAGCTGAATTTATTGAAATTTGACTTTTCATTGATTGATTATATAACTGAAAAGAAAATATTGTGAAAAAGTGACAAGAACAAGAATAATTGGTGTTTTAAAACTGTTTTGTTAATTTGTAGGGAAAAGAGGTATTTACATATGAAATGCTATGAAATAACGAGAGAGTGTGGGCAAATTAGGTTATATATGGATAGAGAGTTCAGGTAGGTAAACATGAGAAGTGTATTGTAGTAATTATATGGGACTTGGGAGGTGGCTTATGTAGTAAAGTACTTGTCTTGTCCAGTAAGTGTGACAGCCTGGGTTTGTTGCCCAGAACTTACACAGAAAGTTGGGCATGAGGGGGTGTGCCTGTAATCTTAGCAGTGGCAAGATAGGAAGTAGAGATGATCAGATTCCTGGAATGTGCTATCAAGCTGCACACACATTGCTCTCTCTCTCTCTTTCTCTCTCTCTCTCTCTCTTTCTCTCTCTCTCTCTCTCTCTCTCTCTCTCTCTCTCTCTCTCTCACACACACACACACACACACACACACACACACACACACACAAATACTATAATTCCAAAAGGATTCATAGATGTAAAGAAGGATTCATAGATGTAAAGGGATATAAAATCACATGTATGTGCTTTTCTATAAGAGAAATTATGGTGGTTTGAATATTAATGGCCCCTATAGACTTGTACATTTGAATGCTTAGTCACTAGGGAATGGCACTATTTGAAAGGATTAGAAGGATTATTAGGTGTAGACTTGTTGGAAGAATAGTGTCACTGGAAGTAGTTTTGAGATTTCAAAAGCTCATGTCAAATCCAGTGTCTCTCTCTTCTAACAGAATCTCTGTACCTTTCAGGGCGGAACTCCTCAGGCTCTGGCCAGTACTCAGGATCCCGATGAAGAGGATAGATTGGTATCATAACTATAGTCCCTTTGGGAATCAACATTCCGTTGATTTCCACATCCTTCTTTGAGACCCTCTCTAGTCTGTTAGCAATAGGGTACAATCTGAGAGTTTCATTTACTACCATGTCCAGGTATTCCATGTCCATCAGGGCATCATAGGTGACAGGTGCCTGGGAAGAGGAAACATATGTTTTTTGATGAAGTTTGGAGTCATGTCATATCAAATATATTAGAATCTCAAAGGGCTAACCTCAGTTAGTAAAAGCTTATCCTTAATCACTCTACACTGATGATGACTTTCATGCTGATTATGACCCATTAGGATGTGAAGTATAATTTTTAGCACAGGAGCCATTTGGGTCACTCCTCTGTCCAGATCCCCTCATTGTCATGCACTGATTTCTTACCCATGTGAGCATATATGATTAACATCTTATGACAGTTACACTCAGACATCTCCATAGCTCATCTGTCTACACCAGGGAAATATGCCATGGCAAGAACAAACTCCTCACTCCTGGTCCAACCAGGCTAAAATTGACAATGCTACATCTTGGTAGCTCCTTTGATTATGGGCTTAGTTCAGTGAAAGGTACCATAAAGAATTCTGGGTAAGATGACAAACTTAGAAGCTGTTTCTGTGTGAGTTGGTTACAGAGAAGATTTGAAGGGGAAAAAATATCTTTTCTAGAGAAAGAAAGAGAAGAAGAACTTTTGCAACACACAAAGGAAGTGGCAGGACAGTTGAAAAGTATGAGGGAAAAATGGATGAACTCATTGGAAAGAAGTCAAGCTGAAGTTGGTCCCAGCTGCCCTGTGTCCTAACGTAGGGAGGAAGGTAAGTCAGGGATACTTCAAAAGTCAAAGTGGGCATTCTGATGGAAAGAAACTGGGGCCCTATCTACAAGAGAATCTCCTAGCTCTCACAAGCCTAAAATCCAGTTTGGATCTGGGTGAGATAACAATTGTTTCTATGACACAGAGAGAGTCACTCAGTATGACTCAGGGAACTTATTGTTGCAAATTAACCACTCACTGGAGCTAGCCAATATGGCACAACAACAAGACTTGGATTCTTTAGGTATTTCTAGGCTATATACAGGTGACAATTCATTCCATCTGGGACACACACACAAACACACACACACACACACACACACACACACACACCCTTAGTATATATCTAGAAGTCTCTAAGCCAACACACTACAGAGATACTAGTAAACAGATGTTTATTGTTGCACTCTTCACAATAGCTAAGAAAAGGAACCAAACTTGATGTTCAGCTACAGGAGAATGAAGAAAGCAAATGTGGTACTTATGCAAAACAGAAAGATTTTCTACCACAGAGATGAATGACACCATAAAATCTGCTGGAAACAGGTGCAAGTCAAGATGTTTAGGTCAAGCAAGACAAACCAGACTCAGATAGAGTGCGGACACAGGGAGGAAGGGAAGGAAGGGGAGTATATGTGAAATGAAGGCAGTTCTGCATACTCTTTAAGAGAAGGAAGAAACCTGATAAGAGACCTCAGGGAGAATGAGGGAGGGCAAAGTGGGAGAAGGATGAACATGAATCAGTTTTAATGGCATGTATATAAAAATGCCAGAGTGAAGCACATTGCTTTGTGTACTAACTTTAAAAAGTATATACATTTTAAAATGTTTAAAGCATTTTTCAGTGGGGTCCAAAAGTCACAACTGGATCAATGGATCAGTTGATGCTTCAGGAACTGACAGTGGGCTCTGGAGGAGATGCATTCTGCACTACTTTGCTCAAATAGTCACACAAGCCCTTGATAACTTCACATTACCAAACCTTGCAGTTGGAGCAAAGAGATGAAGACAGTATGGACATTATGGCTGTCATTTAGTGTGACATTCAAAAGACTATCCTATAGATATTTAGAGTTTGGTTTAGGCTGCTAGCGATATTGATTAGGTGGTAAAGGAATTTGCTGACAAGTCTGATGGCCTGAACTGAAACTCCAGAGACCAAATTGTGGAAAGAGAAAAATGATTCATGTAAGTTATTCTCTGACCTCCATACATGTGCAATGGCATGGACACTTATGCACACACACGCTCTCTCTCTCACACACACATACACAGAGTGAATAATTTGTTATAATAATATTTTTACTTTGGAGCTAGAGACATGAGCTCATCGTTGGCTTCTTCACCTCTAGCTGCACCACTGAGTGTATTCCCATACAGCTGGAGCTAGAACAATAGCTATCTGTGAGGGCTTGACCTGGAGACTTCCAAGTGGGTGACAGAACCTATCCAGAACACTGACTGAAATACAAGCAAGGGTCATCAGACAGCACCGACACTCAAATTATTAAAGTTATTCAAGTTAGCACTCAAGGCTTCAGAGAGGAAGTAGTCTGATATACTATCAAAACCACAGAAAAGAAAAGAATCCCTAGTTGATTCACACACCACATATATAACTATAATGCTATTGGACTGAACAGCAGAGCAATTGAGAATAGTTTCAAGCCAGCCAGCTGAGACCAGTGAAGGTCAACCTAAAAACAGACATATCAGGGACTGCACCCCGACTACATCAGCAGAATAATTGTTCAGACACTGAGGGACTATTCCTTTTTCTTAAGTGTCACACAGGTTTTCTTGGTGTCTCTTATTTAGTATTTTTGTCATAATAAATAAAGATAAAGATATATCAGAGCTTCAGAGGGGTGAGTGTGCTTCGGGCCCGCGGCAGGGGCCCTGTGAGGAGGAGTTAGGACTTTCCCCGACCCCATAGACTCCCAGGTCAGCCTGCTCTGCTGGTTCCAGCCTGCTAGCGCCTCCGCCAGCCATCCCAGCTTCCATCCAGAGGGCCATCAGAGGGGTGAGTGTGATTCCGGCCCGCGGCAGGGGCCCGGCGAGGAGGAGCTAGGACCTTCCCCGACCCCATAGACTCCCAGGTCAGCCTGCTCTGCTGGCTCCACACTGATAGCGCCTCCGCCAGCCATCCCAGCTTCCATCCAGAGGGCCTTCAGAGGGGTGGGTGTGCTTCGGGCCTGCGGCAGGGGCCCTGCGAGGAGGAGCTAGGACCTTCCCCGACCCCATAGACTCCCAGGTCAGCCTGCTCTGCTGGCTCCAGCCTGCTAGCACCTCCGACAGCCATCCCAGCTTTCATCCAGAGGGCCATCAGTGGGGTGAGTGTGATTCCGGCCCACGGCAGGGGCCCGGCGAGGAGGAGCTAGGACTTTCCCCGACCCCATAGACTCCCAGGTCATCCTGCGCTGCTGGCTCCACCCTGATAATGCCTCCACCAGCCATTCCAGCTTCCATCCAGAGGGCCTTCAGAGGGGTGAGGGTGCTTCCGGCCCACGGCAGGGGCCCGGCGAGGAGGAGCTAGGACCTTCCCCGACCCCATAGACTCCCAGGTCAGCCTGCTCTGCTGGCTCCAGCCTGCTAGCGCCTCCACCAGTCATCCCAGCTTCCATCCAGAGGGCCATCAGAGGGGTGAGTTTGATTCCGGCCCGCGGCAGGGGTCCGGCAAGGAGGAGCTAGGACTTTCCCCGACCCCATAGACTCTCAGGTCAGCCTGCTCTGCTGGCTCCGCCCTGCTAGCAACTCCTCCAGCCATCCCAGCTTCCATCCAGAGGACCTTCAGAGGGGCGAGTGTGCTTCGGGCCCGCGGCAGGGGCCCGGTGAGGAGGAGCTAGGACTTTCCCCGACCCCATAGACTCCCAGGTCAACCTGCAGTGCTGGTTCCACCCTGCTAAACTCTCCCGCCTGCCATCCCAGCTTCCATCCAGGTACAAATTTCTATATTTCTCCCCTCCCACTGGGGCCATAAAATCTCCCCAGCTCAGCTGCCTTGCACACTGGTCCTGCTCTGTAGGCACATCCCGGAAAGAGGGAGTGCATGTACTTCAATAGCCTGCCTGAGGAAAGGTAGGCATTCTATCAGTGAACTCCCTGCCCAACAAGGGAACCTGACCTGCTACCAGAAGTTCTAATAGAGAGCATTTGAACGAAGAGATGGGCAGATGCCAAGGCAAGACCTCCTCCAACAATCTGAAAAACAACATGAAAATATCAGATCCCAACGACCCTACAACAGAAGGATTTGAACACTCTAACCCAGATGAAGTGGAAAAAAGTGCCATTATGAAAGCAATAGAGTCCCTTAAACAGGATATGAATAATTCCCTTAAGGAACTGGTCAAGAAGTATAACAAAAAGTTTGAAGAAATGAGTATAGAAATGGATGAGAAATATAACAAAAAGTTTGAAGAAATAAGTAAATCCGTGAATGAGACCCTGAGAAACCAAGAAAAAACAATCAAACAAGTAAAGGAAACAGTCCAAGTATTGAAAACTGAAATGGAGGCAATGAAGAAAACACAAAACGAGAACCGGCTGGATATGGAAAACCTAGGTAAACGAGCGGAGACTACAGAATCAAGCATAACCAATAGAATACAAGAGATAGAAGAACGAATCTCAGATTCTGAAAATACCATAGAGAAAATAAATGCTCTGGTCAAAGAAAACAGCAAATTCAACAAATTCTCTTCACAAAACATTCAGGAAATCTGGGACACAATAAAAAAACCAAATCTAAGAATAATAGGGATTGAAGAAGGAGAAGAACTGCAGATCAAAGGCCCAGAAAATATATTTAACAAAATTATAGAAGAAAACTTTCCCAATCTAAAGAACGATATTCCTATGAAGGTTCAAGAAGCATACAGAACGCTGAATAGACTGGATCAAAAAAAAAGTCCCCTCGCCATATAATAATCAAAACACAAAACATCCAGATTAAAGAAAGAATATTAAGAGCTGCAAAGGAAAAATGTCAAGTGACTTATAAAGGTAAACCTATCAGGCTTACACCAGACTTCTCTATGGAAACTATGAAAGCCAGAAGATCCTGGATAGAGATACTGCAGAAACTAAGAGACCATGGATGCAAACCCAGACTACTATACCCAGCCAAGCTATCGTTCACTATCAACGGAGAAAACAAAATATTCCAGGATAAAAATAAATTTAAACAATTCGTAGCCACAAATCCATCCCTACAGAAAGTAATAGAAGGAAAACTGCAACCCAAGGAATCCAACATTGCCATCACTGCCTACAATAACTCAGACATCTAGCGACCCGTCACATCTACAACTCAAAGAAGAGAAACACACAA